TGGGCGGATAGAAGTGACAAGAAGATGAGGAAGAAGACGTAAGAAGATGCTGGATGACCTTGGGGACAGAAGAGGATACTGTCATTTGAAGGAGAAAGCTCTAGATCGCATTAAGTGGAGGAATTGTTTTGGAAGAGACTGTGGACCTGTCGTCTTGACAGATTACTGATGATGATGATTATCTTATATAGACCGGCTCTGTGGCTCACCCAGCCTCCTGTCCGAAAGGTGCGGGGTAAAACGGCCACAGCGTGATACTAACCACTAACCTCCATCTAGTGTCGAGTTCAGAACAGTCATGCTATACTTCCACTCCCCATACGTCTTTATTGTCTGGTGCTTAATAAATTAAGAAGCGGTTAAAATTTGTCTCTACTTTCTACTTTAAGAATAGGGTGCGAGAATGTGTACTGGTTTCTGTAGGTTCAGAGTACATTCTAATTCCGGGCTTATGTGAAAAGCGCAATGAAATTTCGGCTTACATAAGAAACTGGAAACATTTTCTCCAGCTGCACGAATATAAATTTCTCGAGGAGTGGTCTGGTCTATGGAGTCACTGCTTCTTAGCAAAAAGAACAAGTGGCACTAAGTGGACTTCTAGTAATGACAGTCTTGTGCCCTCTGGGGGGCTCACCCCGCAACAAGAGTAACACGTCCCGACGAAGAAGGTGGATTTAGGACGTTGTTTCGCAAATGTCAGTAGTTGTGTCTGTCTTAGTAATCACTCACAAGTGTTCTGTTGTGAGATGTCATAGTTTCATTGTCGTGGTATTATACTCAGAGCGGTCTGTCGTATCCTTGGTGATTAATAACGGACTGTCACTCGAGAGTGCACATTGTCGTTATTATAATGGCCGCGAGAAGGGGGGGGGGACGGCAGGAAAGAAGAAAGAGAGAGAGATGGTTGAAAGGTAAGTGGCGCTGTTGTCGACGGCACACAATGGAACTAATGAGGAGGCATGCTGCAGTTTGAAAATGAAGGGGCCACTTGTACGAATTACAAGGGTTGAAAACTAGTGTTCTAGAAGGCTTTGGAATGACGACGCCAATGCCGCCCCCGGATAATTTTTCTTTAAGTTTTTAAATGTTCCAAAGGGCCTAAGTGGAGGGGGAAATAAACATCGAGCTCATTAAATAAGGAAAAGATAAAAACCGAGACTTAAAAAAAGAGGGGAAGTTCGGAAACTGTCAACAGTGTTCGTAAACTGAGATAACTGGCGATAAATACCGGCCTTTGAAAGTGTTGTCTTCTGGTCTTGGCCATTTGATATCCACGTAAGTTTGTAATGAATCTGGGGTTGTGGGTCTTGAGATAAGAAATGATAATGATTCTGTACATTAAACTAATATTCATTAATAAGTTAATACAACTAATTGCAAATAAGTAATAAAATTGAGAAGCTGATCCTCTCTAAGCTGGTGAAGAAATGCCGCGTCTTTTCATGAAACACAGAAATACAGTATCATGGCCGGAAGGGCAGTACACTAGAACCTAATATATGGCCGATAAATCCAGTTCATAATCAAGCAATACTTTCTTAACACTCGTCTTAGGAGACCTAATACATTCCAAACTACGCCAAATATTCAAACTGTCCTAGGTCTCTTCATGTCCTTACTATAATTTGGCGTACATTTCTCATTTTCCTCATGTATGCTACATGCCGTACCGATCTAATCTTCTTGGATTAAATCACCCTAAGTGTATATGGTGAAGAGACGAAATTATGAAGTTTCTCAATTTGCAATTATATCCAGCCGTCTGTTACTTCCCCTTTCCTAATTGCAGTTACTCTCCTCACACTCCTCTTCTAAAGCAATGGCAAAATATAAAACTTGCTGAAAATAAATAAAATGTAATAAATACTGTGATCATTATCTATCGGTGCTACTGAGAGTGACCCTGTACAGTATACGTGTACAAGAGCATAGTTCCATCCACGATATATCAGTTTAATGAAGAATTTTTCATTCCCTTTCCTGTGTGCGTTAGTAAGGGAACTGCATAGCAAATTGAAAATTAATATATTGAAATTTAATTAAATATTTAGTGTGTTCAAGTCTTGATCTAATTCCTTGTTCTGTATAAGGACTAAATAAATTTGCAGTTTCACTCATTTCCAGAAGATGGCATGAAAAGTGGGCCCTGAGTTGTGCCCCAAGGCCATACAGTTCTGACTGTGTGTGTGATAATCAATAGTTGTCTCCTGAGGATATGACATGCTCCCAGAAAGGACTATCTTGTGGCTGGTGTTTTCTTTCTGATGACTGTACGATAATACTGTGTTCAAAAAGGCCAATAAATCTTCATCCGCCGCCTGCCATTCAGGATTCGCTGTTCGAACCTTAACAGCAGAACTCGTAACTCGACTAGCTGACGAGGAATTTGTAATCGAAAGCAAAATCATGGAATACATGTAATGTGTATTTATCAGACATAGGAAATGAACGTCGATTCCGAACGCCTGTGAAGTGCTGTTATGTGCTGTGCTTTACAGGCCTGTAGGAGAAGTTGCCGCATAAGGCAGGCGATTCCCGTTTCCTGAGAGAGCAGATGTCGGTTCAGTTCTGCCTTCGCATAAATAATAGTAAAAGTAAAGGTAAAAAGTTAAATTCAGATTACTTCAAAAGCGATTTTGGAATTACTGAAAAATATGCTATTTGTATACAGCATCAACTTCCCTTATTTGCATAGTTCGCTTTTACTCTTTTTTAAACAATGATACAAATTTTGCACGTTTAACACGGCTGCTTCATTCATACTAAGTACCACAGAATAAGAAAGAACCGTGATTCTAATTTTGTGGTTACAGGGTGTGAAAATTATGGAACATTATGAAAGAATGACAGTTCAATGTGCCTATAATTGCTTGAGCCAGAGGAACGTTTATGAACGGACGGAATATTTCTCAGAACAGATGATTGTTACCTGTAATACGTACGCTTCTTGGTCGACCATAGGTGCAGCATATTGCGACCTAAAAGTTGGAATATCTTGAGTCAGAGCAGGCGTCCATTGCTAGGCAACGGCTTGTTAAAACACTTTCCCGCTGTAACGAATGCGCACTGGCTACCGGCGGATAGAACACGTGAAACGGAACCCTTGAAGGTGTCTTCTAGGCCGTCCGACTCTCGGTTATAACAGAACAAGAGAGGTTTAAAACTGAGTCACACAGGTCAGAGGAGATTTGAGAAGAGGTCAGAACAGAGGCGAACGGAGCAGAGCTGAGAGCAGAAGAAATTAGCTCAGCTAAGAACCAGAAGACGACAGACTAGCCAGGTGGAATCGCATGAAAGACGTTATTTCTGAGTGATTGTAATTGCAATTTTAAATAACTTATCCAATAAACAGCTTTGCCTAATCCGGAATCCATTAATTTCTTGTCACGTTACCAGGATACGTGACAACTTGCTGAGCTCAGGAGCTGGTTGAGCAGAATATCTGAAGTAACTGAAGAGTCATTATTCAGTGTACTGCATCAGATGTACGCATTAGTCATGGAAAAATATGCAAAAGTAGGTTAGAACTGATCACTAATATTTTATATTGATTGACACAAATTTCTGGAAGTATGGGAAACTCTAATCTCGAAATACCTGTAGATCGATTCTGTAGGAAAATAATATTTCTAATTATTATATGATTTCTTTGTCACAACTTATAATAGAACTGAGCGGCCTCCGTAGTGTAGGGGTAACGTTCCCACATCACGACTCAAGGTACGCGGGTTCAAACCCGGCGGAGATCGTGGAATTTTTAAGGTCGGAAAAATTCAGGGAAACAAGTCCTCCGGGAGGGACTTCAAGCCGTGTGTCCCGTGTCGTAGATTTACGGCACGTAAAAGATCCTCATGTCTCTAGGAGACCTCTGAGCAAAATTAGACAAAGTTTCCCGCCCAAATAGTTTCCAATTCCTCCGTTAGATGGGGAAGTATCGGGGACCACTGCGAGCAAGTTCGGCCGACCTCGCTGGCAGAACGGGGCTGATAGCGAGCAGCAGTACTGGAAGGGCATGGCGACTGTAGAAATTAAAGGGGGACGCACAATAGATCAACTGGTCGTAGTCCAATAATAATAATAATAATAATAATAATAATAATAATAATAATATAACATAACTGACATTGCTCTTCGGGATATCTTCGCTACGAACTTGAGCTTTTAAAGAAGAACTCATAAGCCATTCAGAAATCAACGTGGTGAGAACCA